AATAACAACAAAAAACAACAGGCAATAGGCATTACAACAGTTGTAATTAAAACTAAATTCGGGCGCATTAGACGTAGAATCACGTGCTAATAGCAAGGCCGGCAGCCGCGACGCGAGCCTGACAAACGACTTTGATCAATCACCGTCTCTGACCAGCCCTGCAAGCATTTGTTTCAACCCTCGAGATACATTACGATTCTAACCCCTAACACAATACCGTACGGGGTAGTTTTAAACGTTTTACACATTTTTGATATATGATATATGAATTTTTTGCTTGCGTAATATTTGTGAGTCAAAGTTTAGTATGTCAGAATTAGTGACATTTTTCATTTGTTTTCAAATGTAACAATCGATTTTTTTGTATGTATTTATCGTACTGAAGGCAAGTGTAAGTTAGTGTTTCATAATATTATTAGATGCGGATAGCACAAGACCGGTTGTCGTGGATATTTTGGGGAGGCTTATGTCCAGCAGTGGACGTGTTTGGGCTAAGACGAACGAATATTATTAACAAAACTATGTGTTACTCTCACGTGCTAATTATCTCGAGTACCTAACTTTAAAATCTACTCATATGTGTAGTAGGTATAAAATTATAAATAATTAATTTTCGTATTATATGTATCTGTTAATATGTAATAGATCGTTTAGTGACTGATTGGTCCATATGAGTACAGCGTCCGCTCCAGTCCAAACAATATTTAAAATAGCTTACAATAGAGCCCTTGTATTTTTATTGACGAATAGACTTTGAAAAATAAAAAATATCTCTTTTTTATCTCTTTCTATCCCACATTATTATAGGATTGAAATTCGTTAGTATGAAAGGAATAATCTAGAACTATGAACCAATTCTATAAAAGAAAGCTATATTAGATATTATAACTGAGTATTTCAAGATATTTTTATTAATGCGAGTAAAAAAAGCTATTTAAAATATAGGGAGAAATATTGTAATATATAACAATCATATACTTGTAATTAAGTTATGTTCTAAAAAATATTACGATGATTGTCTAAAAAGTATATTACAATAGGTTTTAACTTTTAATGTATTAAAAATAATTGTGTAAAATACTCACGTTTTTACTCAAAACAATTCCGGTACAGTATAATATAATACAATATATATTTTTGTACTTATAGGCAGTGGTAGCCCAGTGGTAACGCGCTTGCTTGGGAAACCGAGTGAAGCGGGTTCAAATCCCGGGTCTCGCACCTCTGATATTTTCATGTGCGAATCATTTCTAACATGATTACCACTTGCCTTACGGTGAAGGAAAAACATATAATATAAGGAAACCTGCATGTCTGAGAGAACCTAGCAAGTTTTCAAAAGACATGTGAAGTCCGCCAACCCGCACTTGGCCAGCGTGGTGGACTATGGCCTGATCCCCCTCGTATTAAAGGGAGGCCCGTGCCCAGCAGTGGGACGTTAAAAAGGGCTGAATACACTTATAGGGTCACCTAAATGGTCCTTAGTTAGGTATACTTGGACCCAATTGGTGGCGCTGTTATCGAAACTTAGAAATTTATTTAAAGATCACAAATAAATTTCTAATTAAGGCAAGATGGCATCTGTAAGGTACTTAGTCATGTGTGTAAGACAACGCAATAAAAGCGCGCCGTCTCCATACTAGCGGAAAAGACGACGAAGTACTACCAGTAGCAAGGCAAAGTTTAAAATACAAAAGCCATTAAAATTTAACTATTACGTATAATATATAATTAAATTACATTTTTGTCGAATGAATTCTGGTCGAGCGGTAAAAAATAAACTGTTTTGAGAACGACATTAAAATGAACTTAGATAAAGGATTAGATCTGACTGAAAATTAAATCATAATAATTGTTAATTTATATTATTCTTAATTTTAATTGTAATTTTTATTTTTTCATCTTACATGTTATAGGTTTTGAAAATTGCCTGCAATAAATGATTATTATTATTATATAATAGTAGCATTGCCCGCGGCTCTGCCTGCGTTCAGATGACCAAAAACCAAATTCTTAGGTTTTACATATTAGTATACTCTTACATTGCAGTTTCTGTATTTTTTCTCAGAAATGAAACATTTACCCACGGTAAAAAGTATCCTATATGTTGACCCGGATAACCAGCTATCACCATAACAAATTTCATCAAATCCCCCCAGTGGTTTTTTTGTGATGCGGTAACAGTCAGACAGACAGTCAAAAATTCTAAAAAATATAGACTCGGCCTCTGTATCGTAATAATGTCTATTTCAATAAGATTTTCCAAAAAATATTTAATGTACAGATTCGGCGTAAATATATATTGTATAATCATTTCAAAAATACAAAAATGCCACCAAAATACCTAGTATCCGCAAAAATCCGAAAAAATAGTTTTATTTAAAATAAAAATATAGTTTTTTAACGATTATTATAGTTTTTGTATTACGTAACATTTAGCTAATCGAACTCGTGGTGACTTTCAAGTTCATTGACACTATTTTCTTGTGATGCTTAGTGTACTCTACTTTGCTAACTTAATTTGTACCAACATACAAGTTTTTTCTTAACTAGCGTAATTAGGTGTTTATAAATGTTTAGACAGATAAGATATTGTAATTAATTGATATCGTATCAATTCTATACTAATTTATCATACTTTATTATCTTTTATTACCAAGAATCACTTTTGGTGATCCAATTGAATTACATTAACAAGAATATGTAATAATTTTGATTTTATTGTATTAAATTACAGAAAGGATAAAGTATCCTTTGAAAATTCGCTTCACTGTTCTCTTTATTCGAAGAAGCATAATTAAGCCGTAAGCCAAAAAGTTGAACAATTTCTTTAAAATGACTGAAGTATTATATTTTTTAAATTAATTAAAACAATAAATATTTATATGTATATCATGATGATAATACGAATTATTCCAATTTGCCATCTTTACAATAATAAACAGACCTCGAAACAGAATATGAGTGCGTATTCATTTCGCCTCTATAAGCCTTCAAACTATAGCCTCTCAGTTGGCAAATCGTTAAAGTACGCAACAGTGAAAGTCAATGGATACAAAAAAGAATTTATTTTCTGTCTGAATATATCCGTAATATTAAAATATATAAAGCACTCCTGTGTCACAAACAATTCGCGAAACGGCTAGAAATCCCCAAACCGCATAATGTACGTAAAAAAGAATCGCCTCGACATTTTCACTATAAGTTTGTAAATTTACAAGGCAATTAAAATAAAAAATGGGATGCACCCCACCGCCACCCCTTTAATTATGATTTTTTACATTTTTTAATGATAATAAATTTGCCGGGTTGCAGCGCGCTCATAACGTTAATTTTTTGTAGAATTTGATCACCTTGGTGTTATGTGTTGTTTTTGTTATTTATTAACATCGCACCTAACTTAAGTAAATCTTGAAAATAGCCCGTATTTTAATCTAATGAGAAGTATTCGAAATTTCCATAAACTTATTTTACTATTGTTGAAAAAAATATATATTGAATAATCTCATATATGTCGACTAAATTCCTTGAGTGGCTTGTGCAAGGTTTCATGGAAGCGTTGGCGCAAAGCGAGCTTGATGCTCTTTAAACTACACGCTAAAGTAAACAGGCAGACAAATGTACACACGATACAATGGATGGATACGTATATGGATGGATGGGTGCGATAAAAACATTGTGTACTCCGTGTGCCACTCAGCTTTATACATAGCGCGAACTAACTGCATCTACTAACTTTTGAAGGTAACGTCCATAAAAATCCCTCTAAAAATGCAGCTAATTCATTGAATTTTACAAATTAACGATCCAGGTATTTGAAAAGAAACGCTGATTTCAATTGATACTGTATCGAAGAGGAAATCTCGCAAAAAAAGCCCACCGGTTAATGAAAAAAACTACACGCAGTCAATATTTGATGAGAGCCAATTTAAATGTTCGTCCACTTGTAGACATCGCATAGTTCGCTGTAGCTGTATCGCACATGTGGGGGGGCAACGCCCGCCGATTTCCCGAAAAAAAGAAAAACGAAGAAAAATAAACATGGCGGCGCCTCCGTGCGCGGGAAAAAATGCAGATATAATGCCAGTAATAATAATAATAATAGGCGATCGGCCGCCGGACCGCGCCGCCCGCCCCCACCCAATTTTCATTCAAATGTGCTTGCGTTTTTTTTCTTTTTTACAATTTTCCCGATATTTTTTCGGGATTTCCATTAGTAAAGCGTCTGTCGGAATAGTTGCGATGTTGAACTTCGATTACTGCTTAAAGGATTACGAATCCCAAGGGCGGCGATTGAGCTTATCAACAAACCACAGAATTAGAAAGGTTAAAAACGAAAGTTTCTACATCATAAAACTTTATTTCTATTGTACTTGGTAGTATAGTAGTAGTACAGATACTTGGCTAGCTAAATTTTACACAAAAAATGTTTATGGAAAATATATTTAACTAACTCATTCTACCAAAATATGTGTAGAACAAAAGTGTAAACTTTATTTCAACTCAATTGATAGGTCGTGTCTAAAGAATTGGCGCCAAAACAAGCAGTGTGTAAAGGAATGTTGAGACCGCGCTTAGCAACTTCGCTCGTAGTAGTCGTGTTTTTGGTTTTAATATTTTGGTCTTTGAACTTAACCCTAAAAGTTTCTATTGGAATTTTCATGCTCTAGATTTTCTTATGTGTGCATTTTGTTAACATTATATTAATTATTTAAAACACAACAAAAGTGACTTAATTCATGAAAAGCTTACTTAGTACTTTGAACGTAGTACTATCGAAATGTTTGTTTCACTGGTGAATAAAAATTCTGTGGATGTGTAAATTTTTAATGTTAACGAGGAAGCAAAAAGTTAGGTTCGGATCGCAAAGCGTTAGCAACACAGGGTTACAATGCGACATGACATTCAATTTGAACTCGGAGGACGGACCACGCGTTCAATACTTAACATAATGTACTTTTTCTCCTTTTTGCACATCCCGTTTGACACTCCATCACTCATGGAAATTCCATTTTCAATGCTGGTATATGAGGGGAGGGGTGCGGGGTGGTCTTTGCATCCGCGCAATGGACATGGATGGCGGTTTCGGGGGTGAGGGTGGTCGAAAAAAAGATTGTTAAAAAGGCTGGCCCCCGCGACGGCGGTGTGTGTGCGTGCGGGTAAAAAAGCTCACTAATCGATACTATAGATTCTGAGGCAAGTAGGTTGCGCCGGTACCACGCCGATTGGTCGGTTTCGAATTTTTTTACGGGAGCTCTAACGAAGCGGTGGATGTTTAGTCTTTCGGCGCAATCGTGAGGACCTTTTGAGCCGACTCGTCTTTTTACCGCCCGAACCTAACTCGACGGTCAACACTTGAAAATTAAGCGTGCATATTCGCACTTAACTTTGTCCTTGTTCGTACTCTTTCAGCCACGTGCTTATGAAGAAAAACATCGGAACCGTTTGTTTTGGGACTGTGTTGGGATGTTTTGTTTAACATTCCTTCCGATTTAGGGTTAAATCAAGTTGTGGAGTTTAACTTGGTCTTGAATTTGTTAGATAGGTACATATGTAATTTTTTAACGCTTTTGAATATATTTTTTTTTATATTTCAACGAAACCAAGTTGTCGTCTACATATCTGTGTAATATTTATTATAATAAAAATAACATATTTTAACAACTAAAGATAAAGAAAAAAATATATAAAAAAAAACCTACTTATTAAAAAAACGTTGTATTCTTATTAAATAGGGAAAAATAAGAAAAATGATAATCTTCTAAAACTAACCTCGTAAATGCTAAAAGAGTCTCAAACACACTAAATTGTCGACGAATTCCTTTGACGAAGGATCGTATTGTCTGTCTATTTCACACTAAAGCGAGTCTCCGGTTACTCCCCGGCCTTCTTTTTGACTTCGTTTGTTTCACCACTTAACGGATTAAGAGTGTTTTATAATTGTCACGCTTTTAACAGCTATTACTTACTAATACTATAAATACCATTTTATTTTTGCCAATAAAGATTTATATAATTAAAAATGATTTGTTGATAAAAATGATTGAAAGGTAAGTATACATTTTAGGTAGCATTTTCATATTTTGTTATTTTTTATTCCTAATTAAAATATCATTTAGATTTAATTCATGTTTTAACGAAATAAATATTAACGTTTAATATAAAAACTTAAAATGTTAATGTTTAATATAAAATCTAAAACTATATATTTATAAATATAACAAATTAAGTTAAACAAGATGAAACATACATGGAAAGTAAAAATAGACTAATGAACGCCGCTATAATATCTGAACAATTTTCTTAAGACGTAGCAAAGAAATATAAACAATGCATCTTAATAAAGTGAAGGGGCAGAATGTCAAGAGCCTTGACTCATTTACAAAAATAAAAATTGTCTTGAAATTTTGATTATGTGCTTTAGTTATATATAACTTATATACTAATAGAAAAAATGTGATAGCTAATCTGTATGTTTATATAGAAAAAGATCTGCTTTGATTTTCTATATAGCAAAAAATGTCTTTACGTACAAGTAAATTCATAGTCAAAACCTATTTTACGTGTAGCAAAATTTAAACACGAATTAGCCTCTTTTCTTTTATATTTATAATTCCTTATAACTAATATTGATTTAATCAAACAAATTATCACTTAAAAACTTTGAAAACCACTAAATTCTTTACTTTGAATCTAGTCAACTTGGAGACCAGACAAAGCCGTCTAAAATAATCTTCTTAAAAGAATACAAGACACTTATAGTACAAATGGAAACAATGTGTTGTAATAAGTAAAGAGGTTAGGTTAAGAGACTCACCTCATTCTTTAGGTTGATGGGCTCTTGCTGCGGCCGGGGCGGCGAGTGCCGGCCCCCCTCCGCGCCCTCCAGCATATCAGCCTCGCATCCCGACTCGTCTGCAAGCAATGTTTCTTATTATATTATCTTACTGTCATAATAATCTACACTAATAATATCTATTATAGGAAGTTAGAGTTTGTAAGTTTGTGTATAAATGGCAGTATAGGAAAGCACTGATCTGATTCTGAAAATTGTTTCACGCTATATAACTCTGAGTAGTACAGCTTGTTTTTATTTCAATAAAATTATATATATATATATATATAGTGTCGAAAATTGTAACAACTTTAGTTGATGTCGGAAAAAGGGCTTTAAGTTACTTTATTAGCTATTGTTAGGCACCTAGAAACGAGTAAACTCCCTTTTCTCAATATCACTAAGTTACATTTTTAAAATAACATGCACAAGTCTTAATTATATTATAACGCTTAGGTTTAGTTTTATAGTGGTCTTGCAATATGGAAAATTGAGTATCCATTTTTCTATAACAATTACTCTGAAGTTACTATAAAACCGACATATTCATATTAACACTATCCTATATTTGATATTTAGGAGGAGTGTTTTCTAGATAGCTACTAGAGGAATTGAGGTAAATAATTAATATGTAATTAAGAGTGACGACGGTAAAGTTGCCACTTAGAAAAATGTGTATTAATCATCGAAGTATTCGTTATCTATACTAATCTTATAAAGAGGCAGAGTTTGTTTATTTATTTGTTTGTTTGAATGCGCTAATCTCAGGAACTACTAATTCATAATACTTTCTTAGATTTACGCGAATATTTGACATTTTAAATAAAACTATCTTTTCGGATTTTGTCGCGGATTTATTTGCATTTTTGTTTCCCGACGTTTCGAATGCTTTACAGCATCCATGGTCACGGGAGAGACTAAGGTGTTACATGTCTTGGAGGTATAGTTGTTACAGACAGCCTACCCACAATTAACAAAATTTTGTTAATTGTGGGTAGGTTACGTCGGGAAACAAAAATGCAAATAAATCCGCGACAAAATCCGAAAAGATAGTTTTATTTAAAACTACTAATTCAATTTAAAAAATTCTTTTTGCATCAGATAGCTCGTTTATTGAGAAAAGCTATATGCTATATGTCATCATGCTTCTACTCAAGGGAGGATCAGTAACCATAAATGTCAACAAATCGAGCAGACGTCCATACATTATTGTAAAACTGATGTTTATAATATGTTTAAGTGCTTTAAGCTCAGAAACAACTGGGCCTATTTCAAAAATGCCAAAACGCCAAAAAAAGTTTTGTACTTTTAACGCGAGCGAAGCCGCGGGTTCCGCTAGTAGTATATACTGATATAGTTAAATAATGATGAATATTATGTCTCATGGACTCCTGACATAGGAAAAGTTGAAATCTTAGATGTTTAAAGACACAGCGGTAGGTAGGTATAGCTTTATTTAAAAATGTACATAAACAATTTTCTTTACTTAAGATGAAATAATAACATTTGCATGCTAATATGGTAAACGTAAGTGTTTGTAACAACTCAACATTTGAGTGAAATTAGACTTTTTCTCAACCTACCTACTATTCAAGGGAAGCTACGGCAAAAACTAATAATATAAATTATAAACCGTACAAAAGTACCAGCCGTGTTAAGTAAAATCTAACCACCCCATAAGCTTACCAAACGCAAGCAAAGATTAGAATTCGATAGCGCGTAACACACAAAAAGGAACACGTGTGATACACTCGCAAAATAACCTGAATTACAAAAGAACAAAAACCATGACCCTCCCCAATGAGCCTGCAAATAGATCCAAGTCTCATCGAATTAGGAAGGCAAACTCCCTTTTGCGTGAGACGAACGATAAAAGGGTCATCTTTTCCTTAAATATATTTATTGTTACTGCTTTTACGAGTATGTTTCTCATAGAAGCGATTAAATAACTAATATACATACATAATATATAGTATAAGTATAATTTTGGGAATGTTTGTATGTATGTTACTCTTTCACACTTTGGTACTCAGATGGACTATGACCTGAAGTTACATATAGGCTGTCAGAAATAGAATTAGTCAAAACGCAACCTATATAGTGCACCTATATAATATTATAAATAACTATAAAAGGCATCTAGGAACCCAAGCAAAGCTAGAACTCACTAGTATAGTAATAAGTATAGTTTAATGTACCTAATTATTATATAGTACCTAGGCGACCGAGCTACGTTCGGTGATTTTTCGGAAAAGGTATAAAAAATGTGTTTATTTTTGAAAAGACACTATTTAGATAAATTTAACAAATCAAAATCGTTAGAGCCGTTTTCGAAATACACAAAAGTTGATCATTTAATATTAAAAGATAATTTTATACCAATCCTTTATCTAAAATATAAAAAATCTAATATATAAAATTTCCATGTCACAATGTTAGTTACCGTACTCCTCCGAAACGGCTTTACCGATTTTTACCAAATTTTATATGCGTATTCAGTAGGTCTGAGAATCGGCTACTATCTATTGTCCATACCCTTAAGTGATAAGGGTGGCCCACGTTAGGGACGAACCCGAGCGGAGCGAGGGTGAGTCGCTAGTCCTTATATAAAATTGCAATGCTTTTTTAATCTATATAAAACCTAAAGAAATTATTAACCTGGCAATAACTCTAATGGTTCAATGCAATTAACTTACAAAAATGTGAAAAGTGAATAAAGAACGCGGTAAAACAATGCAGCCGTGACCTAAACAATAAACATGTAGGTCGAAACTCGAATTGTGAACCTTGTGTGGATTTAGACGAAATGTATGACAAATTAATTTTATATATGTTTTAATTTTTATGTATAAATCCATATCCATACTAATATTATAAATGTAAAAGTGTGTTTGTTTGTTTGTCCTACTTTCACCTTGAAACAACATAGAGACGGATTATCATGATTTTTTGTGTGGAGATATTTGGAAGGCTGTAAAGTGACATAGGCTACTTTTCTTTGTCTAACATTATCACATTTCCGCGGGAAAACACGTTATAATATAACCCACAATATCTCATCACACCTTTGTATATACATATATAATATATGATCTATCTATTCGACACTAACAGTCAAAATGTACCTAAGGACGAACTTGAGCGAAGCGAGGGTGAGACTTTAGTAAGTATATAATAATAAAATTAAATATTTGCATTGTTAATACGTATGTAGCTTAGTTATCGACGGTGGCCTTTCAAACATTATTGCTAATTTGATACTTTCTACCTAAATACTATTTATAAAAAAGATTATATTATATTATGAATATTGTTTTACATACTTCTTTATTTATATCATGCTATATTTAAAAATTTTATCATATTATAAATATTTATCATATTATGAAATATAATTGTTGAGAAAACACAACAAAAACAAATTATTCACAATTATTTTGAATAACTTTCTTATAAAGTATCAAAAGTAAAACCTTTCCATTCGTTTTGAATTTCGAAAGTACTGAATGCTTATCGAACTAAACTTTATAAAAGGGATTTTTGTATGGGTTTCTAATACTTATCTGAAAAACTTTGTAGGAACTTCAATTCTTTAAAACTTCTATTGTGTACATATCGAAATATGTACCTACCTCTACCTACATATTAAATAAATCTATTACATTTACATATTTAATAAATTTTTATAACTTAATACTTTTAGCTTTAATTAAAACTTGTATTAAAGCTAAAAGTATTAAGTTATAAAAAAAATCAGACCTATACCTATATTATTTAATTATCTTATATTTTATTAGCATTTTTCTGAAGTAATTGTAAAAATTATATTTTCAATTGAAAAATTTTAGTGCAAACCATAAATAATTCTAAACCTACAATTAGTAAGTAATAAACTTTTATATTAATATAAAATACTTTATTTTTTAAAGTCAACAAACACTATTCGATGCAAAACCAATAGAAAATGCAACACAAAAAGGCAACTTGATATACTTAACTATATCATAAAGAATGTGTTGAAAGAACACAACCATGACCGTCCCCAACTCGTCTGGAAGTAGGTCAAGTCGGTCCGGGAAGGAAAATTCCCGCCTACCTGGGGGAACCCCGAATATTGACGACGTCGAAACAACTTTGTGGATTAGGGATTTTCATAATATGCGCCTATAACTTGCTTTGTTCATGATATTTCCTTAAGCTATTACTCGTAATACAACTAAATTTAATATTATGTTAGAAATTAAAAGTTATGTTTATGTATGCTTTGTTTTATGGATACTTAATGTTAAAATAGATAGAAAATGGTGAATGAAAAAATTATATTATTATATGCATAAACAGCAATAGATAGCTTACATATATTTGCATCTGACTAGGGATGTACCCTTGCTTCGCTCGGGTGCGTCCTTAGGTATGTTTCATAGATATATGAATAGTTATTGCGAGTTCACCTTAGGAGAAAGACTTATGATATTGCGGATTTTTCTGTAGAACTTATTATGACCTACAATTTTCTAATACATTGTTTTAATGTATCTCTTAAGGTTTAGAAAGTGTTAGACATGTAAACTCCTAAGAAGGACTCGATAGAACCAGTTATTGTGCTTTCCCGTGGGAATAAAAGATTTTCCTGTAGTAAAAGGTATCCTAAATATTGACCCGAGTATATAGTAACTCAAAATTGGTTCAATACTTTTTGTGTGAAACGCGTACATCGATATAACTCTTCACTATGATGCACAACTTATACAGATATTTATTGTACTGCGCTCACTTCGCTAGAAACCACAACAATACGAATACTGAGAAAGTATTACAGCATATCCAATAGTGATTGAACCGACTCTGTTTATAGTTTAGCGAGTTCTTGATAAATTGACTTGTGTTCGAGTTCTTTCTAAGTAAATGAAGGGGATTATGCCTCTTAAAATATGATTATTATGAATAAAATTATAGATGTGGTATGATTCACATATTTTAAGTCGTTGTTTTTGCAAGAAACGAATCAAATGAAAATTATATAACACGTTTAGATCAAGTAATAAAAAAGGCCAGTGACATGCAGTTCATACACTGTCTT